GTTTTATTTCCATACGTCTATCTGTAAATAGGGTTTTCTAAGGCTCTGCCTCTATCCGCCGTATGTTCTTATGTATACTGATTTATTGTCTATTGTGGAAAACAGCAAAGCTCTTATGTCTCCGTTGATTGGGTGAGATTTACACGTGGGCTCTATTTTAACTTCGCAAGGTAACGTTAGCAATCCAATTAATTAAATAATTAGTTCAGCCAAGATTTGCATTCGGCAATTCACTTGTTTACGTTGGTATGTCTGCGGTATGCACGGCACAATTATTCTGATAGTATCAACGTTAATATCAGCACGTCACACTGAAATGTGCATCGCATAACTCCTAGCGCAGACGAAGGTCTTCCTAATGCTCCAAAGTATACTTCATGAGGAGCCCCTTTAGGGGTATTGAACTCTCAGGGCGTACTTATTTCAGTTTGCTATCAGAGGCCACCTTGCGGTCATTCGTAAAATGTCAAAAGCGCACGCATTTGCCAATTGGTATACTGCCCATGAGACTTGTCAGAATATGAGGTGTTGGTTTCTAAAAGTCCCTGTGATGAAACGGAAGGATGACTGCATAATTTTAAGGAAGATCGTCTTTTATAACATTATTTCTTATGGCCAGTTTTAAAAAATCCTATTCACTTCTTTTGGAATGGGTAATGAGACGCAGTGGATGGTAACAGTTATTTATATATTTGCTGCATTATGCCCTAAACGCATTCTAAATTGTTACGACTTTCTGTTGACCGTAAGCACGCAACGTTACTGCAAAATAGTACAGTCTGCCCTGTGGCACTTCAAACGCGCACATAAATATACCTGAGCTTTGTGAATTATGCTTGTCATCTTTCCTGCATGCTTCGTTTTTGGAAGTCAGAGTGTCGGAATCATCCTCTTATAAAAGAACTGGTTATGATTTGCAGTGTTCTAATATCGGAACAATGGAGACAACACCAAGCTACATACTGAAGAAATCAACAAAAAGCTCACGGGAGTGATTGACAGCGTGCAGATGGCATGTGGAAAAACAAGGACACGCTGAATTCATTTTCCCAAAATACGGTTCACCGCTGAAGCAGACATTTTCAAAAAATGCGCAAAGTAGCTGAAAATGAAGACATGCGCAGAGCTTTAAATTGCGCAAGCCGACAGAAACTGTAATACCTGGTCAGGCAGCATACTGACCGGATCCAAGTGCGGGCCGAAGGGGTAGTTTTTTGGGATCAGTTAAAATTAATGCCAAGGATTCTTGTACATCTCCTAAACAATATTTCAGAATGATATGAGGAAGATTGAGATGAAAGAAAACAAAAGACTGGTGGCTAAGCCTAAAAAGTTATATGAAACAGTCAAAAGAAAATCAACAAGCTTGCAGAACGATTTTATTGAACTGAAGTTCGGGCGGAAAAGGCAAAATATAATTTGTGCATCTCGTCCGTGATGCCGGCGACGTATGCATGCGAAATTCCGATAGAAGGCAACTTAAATTTCCAATGGTCTGGTGTTCAAACTCTGCAAATTTTTAAAGCATTTAAAAAGGATGATGGAATTGTACAGCAGGATACAGCCAATATGTACGAGGTCAAATGTTCCCCCACGTCTAGAGGGAATGACTTCATGCAGCGGCTGATAAGGGCTTCTTATGGTAGTTGTGCATCCTTCGTTGACGTTTTAAGACATATTCAGAGCTGCTCAAGCTTGCACAGGCAAAGAGGAGTAAGTCAGCTTTCATAATTCCACGTTTTAGCCTGTTGCGTTTGAGTAAGCAATACCGGACGGCGATGGCCATGTGCATTCAAGAAATTTTCGAATTTTTGGGTGGGTGAATCTTATTTCTGGTTTTACAATGTAGAGTCCTGTCACGGCATTTCTGCTGAACATGAAATGTTTTTAGCAGCTGAAGGGGAACTGATTAAAGCTTATGAACTTGTGTGGCATCTTGCGGAAGTAGTGCTATTTCAGGTAACTAAGGTATTGAGGGGAATTTTTCGGTTTAGGCTCCGCCGCCCGGTCACTTAGCATACAATCTAGCCAGCTGGCACTTTGTGCAGTCACAGGAAGCCTCCAATACTGCGCGAAACATCCTTGCAACTTGCAGCCGGACACACGGAATGCACTCCGCCTTCAATGACCCCGATAACGAACTTCTATCGCGGTTTTGGCCGACTGTGCTTGCTCTAGTTTTGCAAGCAAGAACGATCGAGGCAGCAGCTTTGATTGCTGCACATCCCAGTGCAAATTCGGCTGCTTTCCGCAACATTAGACAGCTGTTGAATAACATGCCGCTTTCTGAATCGCAAAGTCACGTTCCGGCAGGTTCGTGCGCGCACGACTAGATTTTTTTGCTCTGTTTGGACGCATTTAGATGCATGCATTAATGATTGTCCCAAAGAGTTTTACTTTATGGAAACCAAAAAATACCCAAGAGTGCAGTGACTTCCCAAAATGGTCCTTCTGACTACTTTACACTCCTCTCTATGAACGTACACCAAGTTTTTAAGACGACCTAGTTAGCTTACACGAATTCCAACCGGGAGTTGTGGTGATATACGGTTAAACTTTACCAGCTGTCAGTTATCGTCAGCCGACCCACGACCCTTTGGCTTGCACTATCGCCTCCGTCCTCCGCCACAGAGAGCAAGTGCTTGAATCCTCTTTTCCACGGTTCCATTTATTGCTTTATTTTTTCAAGTATTCTTAGACTAATGCAGTGCGCTCAGGCTAAAAGCTGTCGGGCGGCGGTACTGAAGTACAGTGTAGAGTACTTTTTCATTTTTTTTTACACTACAGTCCTTACGTTGCCGAAGAATGCCTCATTTCAGCTTGCTAATAATTAGCCATGACTGTGTTTTGGGCTCTTGGTTTTCTGTTGTCCAAAAACCGCCTTCGTTCTTAGAAACCTGTACATACGTTGCCGTGCCTCTTTAAGTGTTAAACAGTTATTTTTCTCACTGACTTCCCACTCAAATTACGTTTATTCGGTCGCACGCCAATCCGCCTGTACGTTAATATTTCTTGCAAGATGCACAAGATTGCTATTTAGGAGCATTTTTGTGAGGTTAAATTACGTTTAAATGGCTTCTAAACTTCTTTCTTCGTCACCCTTCACTGATAAACATAGCGGAAACAATGGATGATGAAACAACCCGTCGAGACGCTTGGGACTTTTGGCAGAGGACCTGCTTTAAACGCCTGTCTGAAGGCGAATTTGGTCAAGGGTCAGCAGATTCCTCATCAGATACGTCCAATCTGCATCTAATTGCATCAATTCTTGCTGGACGGCAAGACATCTGGGATGATCCGCGCGTTGTCGATGCTTGTGGCCAGCCCAGCAATTGGTATTTCCGACTTACCGCATGGATTTTCTACACTGATCGCTTTGTGGGGCCAGACTCACTCCTTCCGTTGGTGGATCAGTGGCGTCAGACATATCCCCCTCAGCCAAAGTTGCCTAACAACCCCCTCGACGAGGTGCCCGTTTTATATCTGTTACTTTGCTTGTGATTATTCCTTTTTAAATTGGTTAGAACCAAGTAAATGCTGATGCAAAGTTTACGTTAGGCATTGTGCTGTTTCGCGGCTTGGCCATCTTATATATCAAAAGTCAATTTGCTAGCGTTTGCTTTTAATGTTTCACACCATGGCCCTAACAAACTCTTGCAACCAAGAAGCTTGAACTCTGGCGCGAAACGTTTTGGCCACACGACTCCATTTCTTTCTTAGGCTGCGACATCAAAATATTAATTAGTAGTTTTATGCTGCTGGCTGTTCTGACATTTCTAAACAATCAGGAACGCTACCATGCGGACCTTTTAAGAGCAAAATCATGAGCCGCGTTCTTTACCTGTTTTCAAATTAACGATCTTCCTTTAAATTCTTCGTCATCCGAGCCATTCGTTCGACCATAGAAACCTACAGGGAAGGGCTGTCGAAAACTATGACAGAACCCTTGCTTTTGACTCATTTTTTTCAATCGAGCACACATCTTGAAAAACTGACTGAATTGTCAGAGTAATATGTGCGTAGATTGACAACTCCCGCGCTGGACAATGTGGAACTGAACAACACTTTTTATACGTTTTTACCCGCAGATAATTGACGAACTTGTCGTAAGCATCTTTCGCGCCGATATTGTCTCGCTCCTAAACACCGCAGGGGAAAAATTTAGCAACTGGTGGTTAGTTGCACACTTATCGAACTTCCTAAAACGCCTATTTCCGAAAATATTCGAGTCGGAGGCTTCACGGGACAATGTCAACCCACTCCAGGATTTGGTGAATGTTAAGTTGGAAGACCGCGAGACAGGTAAATTTCTCGTTACTTATGCATACTGTTCTCTGTGATTCTATTTTTTACTTTGAGTCGTTTAAGTATGACCGCACGGTCAAACCCCAGACTTGTCGTTTAAGGGGTTCATTCGAAGAATTCCTTGCATTAAGCAGTTCAAAACAAAACCGCATAGTCGTGTCAGGCTCCGGCTCGAACTGTACCGGTTTTTTCATGACTGAGCGAGTAAACAGTCGTCATCAAAGGAACGTCTGATCTACGTATGTTACCGGTCCGTATGCAGATCCGTTTTTTGTTTCATACCCAGCTCTTAGTAGCATTCGTCCACAAGCGGACGCAGCGTCATACCTACCGAATAATGCGGCATGACGTGAATCCCCCACTTGAATTGTAAACATTTGGTTCCACTATCTACCGGTGCTGAAGCCTAGTGATGTATGACTTTTTTCTCCACCACTCTGGTGCTCCACCTGTATTAGTGAATTACTCGGTTGACGTACCAACCACACATTCACAAGGAGGTATTCGTCTCTTCATCCTTATTTAGGGACGGAACAGGGACATTGCATTTTGACTTGTAACTCCAGACCGGACCGCTCGTAGGCAGTCACATGGTGACGAGAAGGCAAGCACATAATGGAATAGAATATCAACTCATAATTCTTCGTCGCACTGAGAAGCACTGAGGTTTGAACTCGGCTTTGGCTGATCATTAAACCGCACGTGCTACTTGTTCAGGTCTTATTCGTCCCGGCACGAAACATTCAAAGTAACATGCAAGTGATTTTCATCGACCTTCGTTGATTCCAGGGCGGTATATGGTCTGCGGCGGTTCTAGCCCGGGTATCCGATTTTAAACGAACTACCCATATTTCTTCCTGCAGTCAGTATAGATCGACAGGTGACATCCTCACATGGCCTTAAAAATTTTTTTTTTCAGTAGCAGTCGATAGATCGTAAATTTCTGGTTAAGCCGGTGGTGCTTATGTCAAAATGAAACCGGATTTAAACCTCGAGGCTTCTCGCTTTAGGTTTGGGTGTGCCCGACTGACAGTGACAAATAAGCAGATAAAGACCTTAGTGCCTGTTGAATATCTACGTTGTTCTAACCGCACTTGCATTGGATTCCAATATGCAATCATCTGCAGACAACCTAGCTTGGAGTCGGGGTGACCCTATCTATGCAAGCCAGTTTGGTTTATGAGACCGTCATACCACAACTTTTTTTATGGATTAAAAACCTACAAAATGCTATCTATCTGTCTGTTTGGAATCAGCCTGCACCCACACCTACAAAGGTTAACTTTACCATTTAAAATGACTGGCAGTTCCTTCTGTTTTCTCTCTTAGCGGATATTGACGGGACCAGGGTCTACAGCCTCCTATCAGACTTCTTTCTTTTCGGCTATGCGGAATCTCTGGTCTCAGAACCATGCCTACTGTCAGTCGCCCTGGGTTACCTGGACTACTGCTCGTCTGCTGCAGTTGCACGGGAAGCGCAGGCCAGTCTGATTGCCCAAGTCAAGCCAACATCCACACGAATGGCTAACATGGTGAACGTTTATGTTTTGCTATAATTTATGCTTAAAGCTTGGATAGAAAACAGAGAAGGAGCTTCATAGGAGCCCCTATTGAAAACCCGCGATCGCTCATTAAAACATTTTTCGTTAATTCCTTTATCGTATGCACACTTCTGCAGTGTGTCGCAGTATTTAACCATCGACTTTTATTGCGGTCAACCCGTACCCTTTAGTAAATTAGCAGCAGGCAGGAACCGCTGGAGACGCCTTCCATAATATGCATGTTTTACTTTATTTTACCCCTTTCTATTCGGCCTGATGTTCGATAGAGCAGAAATAATTGCGTCGCGCCGGCCATTACTTCCGCCAATCTAGACCGCACGTGTTTGTGTACCGACTGAGACTATGCTCCCAGTGCATATTTGTGGATTAATCAGAAAGGACGATTATGTATTATTAATTACTACCATAGTCATTACTATTAGTAAAGATTTCGACTGTCATCCCACTAGTTTAGCCTGCTCCAATCTGCATGGCTTTATGAACTAGTGAGATCCATACTTTTCGGTCAGTGGTAAGGCCCTCACCAATCGTTATCCGTCTCGTGTTGCAACTCAGAACACGGCCCATAATTGTCCCCAGACCTCCCTGTATCAAATATTTCTAATTTTCCACTTGACAGTCATTGGAAGGGTTTCAGTACGGATAGGACCTCGCCGAGTTCCTCCTCCGTCGTCTGAGCACATGAATAAGTCATCTAAAATGCCTGCAATAAGGGGAGTTGCGACCTCGAGATATGATCCGTTAGTCAACGACGTAGCTCCCTCCGATGGCCGTACTCTTCAAACTTATGCAGTTTCTTCCAGTCACGAGCGCACAGTCGAGAAATGAATCCAAATCACTTTAGCCGTAAGCTAGTACACGCGAATCCTTGTTTTCGGGTTACCTTTTCGATGAGATCACTAGCACTTTCAGAGGTAACAGGACACGCTGCGCGCGGTCCATGTGTAGTACCTTTTTCCCCCAGACATTGTTTTCGGCAGAGTAGGGGACCCCAAGTAGACGAATCCGCTTACTGAAGGCTGTGAACAAATAAATAAATAATTTCTTATTAAAGACCCGTCGAGGTACCATAAAAGCAAGTGAAAATAAGTTTACATACGAATTTTAAATGAGGTAGGCAGAATCTGTACAGAATGTGAACCTTGCACACAGCAGAATGCCTTGGAGCACATTATGTTACCCTCGTATCAGTGAGCAGATTTAAAAAGCGAGCTTGCCCCAGGCCGAAGTAAATGCATACAGAACTTAGAAAATAAAAAAAGATGGAACCATTTGATTAACAGGTAGTAAAACCTTTGATTGGTCGATCCGCCTTTCGAGGTTGCCACTCAATCGGTGGTTCTTAAGTCCTCACTCCACTAAAATCATTCGAATGTAACGTTCCATTGCATAAGAATAGGCTTTCATCTGACCACACATTTTTTGTTATAGCTCATTCGGGAGGCACGCCGTCGCGGCCTGCACAACACCGCCGATGAGATCGCTCGTGTTAAGGTTGCCAATCTTCGCCCTCTAATGCATTTATTTGATGCTGCCTCCGGAGCTCGACAGCCTGTTGAATCCATCTCAGATACGGTCAATGTCGGGAACGTTTCCCCCGTGTGTTCTGCTCTTGGCTGGGCGATCATGGCGCGAAACCGTGATCTGGTGACCCAGCTGGTTACACGTTTGCTTTGGACTGGCATGCCTAGGCTAGGCAGCCTAGTGTCATTCCGACTGAGCTGGAATCGAGCGCGATGCATTCGGGAGGTGGCTGCAATCGTGAGCTGCCTCTTTGGTGGTGGCTGCAGTAAGAGCTGGCTTGCTCTCTCCCCAGAGATCGCTTTCCTGGTCAGATACGCCGAACTACAACAGCTACTTGCCGAAAAGCAGATTCAGGCTGCGGTGAACACTGTTCTGGATCTCCTAACGACGGACTCCATGTCTGATGGACGTGTCTTTGAGAAGCCGAACAAGCCAAAGCAACTTGACTCCGCTGCCTGTCAACGTAAATACTCCCCGCCCTTGCCTGTACACTTTCGATTACATCTTCTCATGCTCCTTAAACCTCATCTGACAGATTTGAGCTGCCTCCGCCGGGACCAGATTGAGATTCTTACTGTAATGGTGACAGATCTTCGTGCAGCCATCGATCTTACGCTGTCGGATCGTAGTCTCGATCCGAACGTGACTGACCTCAACGACTGGTTTTTCGGTCTGCACGATCTTCTTGCCCGGGCTCGAGCCGCGGCGATATTGCGCGGCAACGGAGCATCCAATTCGGACCTGATGTATCACTTCACTGATGTTCTATCTGAGTGTACAATGCTAGCTGATTAAGCACAACACTTTGTCAACGTTGACTTTTTCGACCCCCTCTTACCAGCAGAAGTCCTCCCCTGTTTCACTCTATTTTTGCAAGCTCCCAGTGTACATACGACCATTTTATTGTGGATGTATGCTTTGTTTAAAACTCGAACGAATGGCGAATTCGATTTTGCTTGATGAAAGGGTCGATTGGTAGTTCCTTTTTCGACCAAAGTAGTTTATAAGGAAACCGGACAGAAGGGGTGTAGAGTACTGACCGGACTAAGTGACAGTTAGACCGACGTGACTGACGATGTCTACTGTGTGCCCCACAACAGGGTAAGAGTAGGCATGGTGAGTTGCGCGTGATTTCTTTTATAGTGATAGCAAACTTGCGCAGCATCTACTGCACCCCCCCTGGGCCTGGTGTCAAGACATAGTCAAGAGGACCGGAGGTAGGAGAGGGCGCAGGTGTTTGGCACGGTCGGACCCGCACTCAGTACATCCCCAGTGCCTGGAGCACCCACCTATACCCACCAAGCTCGTCTCAACTTCCCACACTGCCCTCGCACTTTCAGGCATTGCATGGGTCTCTTCGGCCACATGCGCATTCACGACGACCTGCGGTAGACAACCGCCGGTCACACCACACATTCACTCACTCCCTACCTCCTCCACCACCACCATCACCCCACCAGAAATCAACACTCACACACCTCATGCACCCAACTGCCACCTCCCACGCAAGTGGGAAGTCCGCATCTCGACTCGGTCCCCATGCGGCTTCGGCTGCACGGGTGACTTGAGTCCGAGACTATCCCGACACGTCAAGCGTCGTGGATAGGAAGGTTGCTGAGTGACGCCCGCTCTCGGTTCACGCAGTTCGTCGCGTTGTGTGTGTGTGTTGTGTGGAGTGGCGGACTGGTGGGCTGGGGACGGGCTGAAACAGCACCTTTCACGGCCCTCTCACGCAAGTGAGAGACACGCCGTTCAACCCCCGTTGTGTGAAATCCTGGTGTTTGTGTGTATGAGGGCCAGGTCGTGCTGTGGCGCGCGCATTTATGGTCAGTCGACCATGACAGCCACCGCGCCCATTCCCCACTCCAGTCTGCTGACCAGCTCGGACAGTGGCTAGGGTGTGGGGATGGGAAGGGAGAGTGAGGTCGACGACTCAGCGCACTTTCTCCTCACTATAAACAATCTGACGCGCTTGAAGCTATCACGGTGGGCTAAAAGCCGTGGCTTGGAATGTTGCCAACTGACGGGGTACCTTGGACCTCCTCCTTGACCGGAGGCGGTCTGAGAGCCAGGCTGCTATGGCTCCTTTTTAATGTGGCCTTTATGGCACTCCCATCACAGTGTGGGATCCGAGCCAGGCGTTGGCGGCACGCCCAGGTGCGGCTTCGGCCGTGCCAGCCTCCAAATCTCTGTTGTGATTGGTTGAAATCCTGGTCATTTGTTGTGCGGACCAGGGGGTGGGGTGTAACGCCAAGGTGAGGATCCGTCCGAGCCGTCCACCTGCGGCCTCCCTCGTCTCCGGTCTTCTTGACTCTGTCTTAACACCGGGCTCGGGCGAGGGAGGAGGAGAGAGTGTAGGTAGATGCTACGCAAGTCAACCGGCACTATAAACCCCTGCGTCAGTCACCGTCCCTGCTCCCATCGCTGCTGCAACTGTGGGGTACAAGGTGGACATCATCGAAACCGATGGTCGAACTGTCATCACATCCCCCGGCCAACAATAAACACTTGACCAGGATTTTAACCAACAACAACAAGAGCGACGACTGGCGCGGCCGGAGCCGTCCCTAAGTGTGCCGCCACACCCTTCTCGGATCCCACTGGGTGGGAGTTCAATAAAGACAACATTAAGAAGGAGCCCTTGCAGCCTGATTATCGAACCACCAGTTCGCTACTCCACACAAACGCACTGGGCTAACTGCGAGATCCAAGTTATCCCGTCACTTGGCAGCCTTCTAAGCCACGGCTTCGACCCACCTTGATAGCCTTAAGCGAGTCAGATTGTTTATAGTGATGAAAATGCGCTGAGCCGTCGACTTCACCCTCTGTTCCCATTCGTAGGCCCCAGCCACTGTCTGAGCCAGTCAGCCGTGCGGGAAATGGGTACGGCGGCTGACACCTGGTGACCTCGT